TATCATGACCTGCCAGAAGAACCAATACATGTTTCTTGGAAGAAATACAGCAAGAATGCTCCTTGGAGGCAATGATGGTGACACTTGAGCATGTTGTCAGGAGGAAACACACCCTGGAGAAGGACAACATGCTTGGTAGCTTGGCAGGTCAGCAAAAAAGAGGATGACACCCAGTGAGATGGAATGACACAGTGGCAACCACAATGGGCTCAAATATAATAATTGTGAGGATGGTTGGGATGTGTTTGGAAAATGACTTGAAGGCACATAACAATAAAACAACAACAGATGGCTTGAGGTCTCTCCTAGCTCTTATTTTTTTATTTCCCTAAATAATGCATTCTGTCTTGAACTCAAGGTGGGAAAATTACCCTATATTACCCTCCTTTCCCTGATTTACTCATTTGTTCCCAAAGAACCATTTGCTTCCACAGTAACTTTTTAAAAGATAATAATTTGAACAAATTTATCTGAATATTCTGAAAACTTCACACATGAAAAATGAATATTCACAAATGAGAATGGAAGTTACACATGTACATAAGCTTTGTTGGACTTTGCTGCCCAAGATAAAACCCTGGGAAGTATACTTAGGAAATGTGGAAACAAATGTTACCCTGCAGGAATGCAAGATTTTTAATACTGCTCATATTTTGGGTCAATTTAAGAAGAAGGTAATGAAAAGAATATACATAGATATAAGACAAAGCTCTAAATATAATTCATATAATAAATTTTAGGAGTTAGGATTTGTATGTTGACAAATGAGAAAAGCTGTAAATAAATTCTATTTTTAAATTAGCCTAATTTTACAAATGAAGAACATTTTATAAATATTGTACTAAGAACCTTTCAGAGATATCTCTGACTTCAATAATCTCATTTTTCTTAGTATATAAAGTAATCATTTCTTTTGTCTTTGCACAGAGGAACCATTGGGACGGTGTTGGCACTGGTTATCATTGGCTGGTGCAGCCTCTCAGCTTCTAAATTCTTCATTTCAGCCTTGACCATGGAAGGACAACAGCTTCTCATCGCCTATCCCTGTGCCTTATTTTATGGACTTTTTGCTCTCTTAACGGTTTTCTGAAAGTGTTTCAAGTATCCTTACAAGATTATTTTGGATCTGTATCCTCATTCAAATTTGGTCATGTGATTTCTGTTGAGAGGAAAATACACAGAGAGACAGAACAGCACTTAAGGATGTTGCTCTGGTGCCTGTTAGGTTTAAAAAATGTTTTGTTATGGCGCATGGTACATTAACACAGTTTACTTTAAAATAAAGTATAATTAAAATGTTCGTTTCCCCCTTAACTCTTAAGGTAGGAATATAGTTGTACTGGTGAATCTTGTTGTTCTCAATAAATCTACTTCTGAGAAATTGAAAGTAAATAAAGTCATATGCTATTAAAAAGAAATCTATAGTGAGCCTTTGAGAAACCATCAGAACAGTTCAAATATATACACATTAAAATATTACTGTTCATAAGTTTTGGAGAACTTGGTAAAGTAGAGGGTCAGCAAGAAAGGAGACCCCCAGCAAAATGGATTGTCACAGTGGCAGCAGCAGTGGTTTCAAGTGTAGCAACATTTGTAAGGATGGTGTAGGACCAGGTGGTGTTTTGTTATACAGGTTTATTATGTAGATTTTGTTTATTTGCTAGTTTTGTTTTTGACTTTTGTATTCAAAGAATCTACAGTCTTTCAATTTACTTTTGCAACTGTTCTTTGGTCCCATTCAGACACTTTATTGTCAGTATTTTTCAAACCTTTACTTACGTCTTTCTCAGTTTTGATGCTATGTTGCTATTGCTTGGTGCTATTGAGTCAGTTCCAACCCATGGTGACCTTGTGTACAACAGAACAAAAGACCACCTGGTCCTACACCATCCTCACAAATGCTGCTATGCTTGAGCCCACTGCTGCTGCAACTGTGACAATCCATCTTGCTGTGTGTGTGTGTGTGGGTGGGGGGGCTCCTTTTTACCAAGTATGCCCTTCTCCAGGGACTGATCCTTTTGACAATGTGTTTGAAACATGAGACAAAGTCTGGCCATCTTGGCTTCTCCATAGAGCATTCTAGTTGTACTTCTTCCAACAGATTTGTTTATTCTTCAGGCAGTCCATGTTATCTTTAATGTTCTTCATCAACATAACTCATACGCAAAAATTCTTCTGTGGTCTTCCTTATTCACTGTCCAAATTTATGAGGCTATTGAAAATACCATGGCTTGGGTCAGGTGCACTTTAGTCCTTAAACTGAAGTCTTTGTTCTTGAACACTTTAAAGAGGTCTTGTGCAGCATATCTGCCCTAACACAATTCATTGTATGGACCACGCATGCACAATGTATTGCTGTTATTGTCAAGTGCTGTTGAATATGTTCAACTCCTAGCAACCCTGTGTAGGGTTTCTGAGGAATGGTTGGTGAGCTTGAACTGTTGACAATATATATATATATATATATGTTATTGTTGTTAAGTGCCATGGAGTCGGTTCTGACTCATAGTGACCCTGTACAGGGTTTCCAAGGATGTAAATCTTTATGGGAGCAGAAAGCCTCATCTTTCTCCCATGGAACAGCTGGTAGTTTCAAACTGCTGACCTTGTGGTTGGCAGCCCAATTCATATATATATATATGTGTGTGTGTTTAATGAAAAAAAAGTTTGTTGCTGTTGTTGTAAACAAACACAGTAGAACATATATGCACAATCCAGTGATGCTGATTATATGCATCTAATTGTGCAACTACTCTCACCCTCCTTTTATCACTATTACTTCTTGCCTGCATTTATTTTCATTATTGTTGCCACTAGCTCCTTAAGCAGCTGAGGGTGATCGAGGAAACACTATTTGTTTCACATTAATTACATTAACATGTCTTAAATGGCTCCTCAATCCTGCTTCTTAATTTCCCAGTAAATTTGGTTTCACACTTTGTGAGACAGCTATGTAATGCCATTTATTCACTCTTTAAGTCTCCAACACTCTGCAAATGATTTCGGACACCAATTACTTGTAGTTAGTCCAGATTTCACAGGTGAAGGGCATGGTCTGCCACACAATTATCCTCATTTCATATATCAATCACGAATTCAGAGGTTCCCAGGGCCACATTCACTTCTGGTCAACTAGCTGGCTAGTTTGATAATTTGCTAGAATGACCCATCAAACTCATTCAAAGCACTATATTTAGGACATATGAACAGTTTTATAAGGAACTCTGGTAGCATAGTGGTCATCAGTTTGAAACTACCAGTCTGTTTCATGGGAGAAAGATTAGGCTTTCTGCTTTTACAAAGATTTACAGTCTATGAAACACTATACAGGGTTACTATAAGATGGAATGGACTCCACAGCACATAACCACAACCACCACCATGCAGTTTTATATACTTAAATGCAGTTTTATTATAGCAAATGTTTAGAAATAAGAACCATTCAATGGAAAAGATACATAAGGCAAGCTCTAAGAGGGCACCACATGTGAATCTTCTTTGTTACTATGGACATGACTCCTCCTGACATATTGATACAAGTGGGATACTGTCAAACAAGGAAGCTCATTCAAGCTTCAGCATCCAGTATTTTTATTGAGGCTCCATTGTATAGGCATGACTTATTGAATCTTTCACTGTGTGATTCAACTCAGTCTCCAAGCCTCCCACCCTTTCCCTTGCTGAAAAGTTAAGTGCCATAGAGTCAGCTCTGAATCATAGCAACCTGTATAGCATTTTAAAGTAGTGACTTGTGGGTTTGAACCATGGATAATTAACTTTTGGTTAGCAATGCAGTGCTTATCCTATAGCAGCACACCAGGACTTGTGGATAGACTGATATCACATTGCTCAAAGCTCCAAACCTCTAATTGTTAGGCCCCAGATGGCCCTATCCAGTAGGATACCCCAAAAAGATTACCAGGACTCGAGTTCAATGCAACAGCAAGAGGTTTATTTGCCAAC